TGCTGATGCCATAGAGGTGCTGGATTTGGGGGAGATGAAGGCACAGCCCTTCTGGTTGCAGGCGATCCCTGAGGGTTTGGGGATAAGCCAACATCTGTGGGGTGTCCCCGAGGGTTGGGGGCTGGGTGCAGCCCCATCGCTTCAAGGGTGGCTACGGGGTTTTGGGGTCACTCCCAGGCACGGGGGATACCTGCAGGCACAGGAGATCTGGGGGTGCTGTGAGGGATTTGAGGACCCGGGGCTGTGGGGGCAGCAGCCCGAGGGTTTTTGGGGGCAGCTTTAAATGCAGGGGCCGGGGGGGAAAGGACCTGAAGGTTTGGAGCCCCTCAGCCCAGCACGGGGGGTGGGGATCAGCATGAAGGATTTGGGGGTGACTTTGGGGGAACTCTGTGACGCGGGGCTGCGGGGGAGGCTGGGGGCACCCCTGGATTTTGGGGGCACTCCGAACCGAGGGGGTCAGGAAAGAGCAGCGAGTGCCCCACAGGTGTGGGGGAAACTCGGGGTTTTGGGGTTACTCGGAGCAGCTGCAGGAGGCTCAGGGGACGCGCACAGGGCTACGGGGCAGGAATGGGGGAACCCGGGGTCACCTGCGAGCGCCCTCAGGGCCCAGCGACGGAGGTTGGGAGGGCGGGGGTCCAGGAGACCCCCCGCACCGGGGGGAAGGGGGGAAGAGGGGGGGGCGGCACTCACCGCTGCAGCTCCTCCTCCTCGATGCGCTGCCCGTCCCAGACGAAGACCCCGGCCAGGGTGGCCATGAGGCGGCCGGCGGCGGCGGCGAGGGCGGGGCGACCGCGGAACGGCCCCCCCCGCCACCACCACCACCACTCACCCCACCCCCCGCCGCCTCCTTCTCCTCCCCGCCGCGCCCCCTCCGCTCCGCTGCCGCCGCCGCCGAGCTGCCAGGCCCTCCGCGCCCTTCGCGCCCGCTGCCCGCTCACGCAGCCGCACTGCCGCGCCAGCAGGCCCAGCAGGCCGCGCCGCCCCGCCTCGCCGCCTTTAGGAGAAGCGGATGGAGGCGGCCGGGGGCCCAGGCGGAAGGCCCGGGCGCAACGGGCGAGCAGGCCGAGCAGCGGCCGCCGCGGCTGCAACATGCCGCCACCGTGCGCGGGCCGCGTCCCCCCCCTTTGTGCGTCATCAAGAAGCGACGCGTCGCCGATTGGATGCCGTGGCCTCCGCCACGCCCATTGGGCGAGCTAGCCACCGCCCCGCGCGCTGATTGGGTGAGGAAAGGGGAAGGGCGGGGCTAAGAGG